CTGAACTCAAAACACCAAATTAAAATCACATATTTTTCACCCCCACTTTCCCAAGATTATGGGAAAAAATACTTTGGAATAACAGCTCCTGTTGTAGATCTGGGAATGACTACAACCAAAAAGTGACAAAATATCCATCATGAGTTTGTTAAAAATATTCCCAAATCTTCTATATTTTCCTTAGGAAATGTAGGACAATTAAGATAACACTGGTATGATATTCCTAACTATTGAATGTTTTTTATAAATCAAACCCAAGCTTCTCATCTTAGTTTAAAATAAGTTTGGAAATTTTAAACAGTTTAAAATAGGCCAGACAAAACAACGTGGAAGAAGGGGTTTGATTTTTAGTGAAATACACATTTTTGTATAACTACAGAGACGTCAGCAATGCCTTTTTCATAAATTACGGCTCAAATAAGAATAACCAGCAAGAGCAAATGGTGAACCTTCTCTATCTGTTACATTATTTGAGTCTTTGCCTGTGGATTTACTTTCAATGAATAAAACAATCATGCTCGATATTTATTATAAATTGGTTTAATAAAAGTACTTTTTTTTGTTTATCTGACCTTCAGTGAACTCTTGATCAAATAGTCAAAAGACTACCCTAAGAAACTTGATGGTCTGAAGTTTTTTTCAAAATGGCCACTGATTTTGGGTGCCCTAAAACTATAGACAAAATGGAAGCACTCAGCATCTCTAATAAAAGGCCCTAATGGACATGATTTTTCATTACCTAGCATCTTCTAGAATAACTTAGCTGAAAGAAAACTTATAAACTCCAACAGTTCTGATCTGAGATGAATACTGACTTGGCTTTGTAAAAACAATTCAGCGAGGTACAGATCAACAGAGAGGCAGACACACAGCATTTAAGTTGGACATCCAGCTGAGAGCTCTCAAATTCTGTGATTCAGAGTCCTCTCCTTCTTAAGAACTTTGCTGCACAGTGACAGCTCAGTTAAATGGCACCTTTCTCTGTCTTACCTTTCTCCCAACACTACTAGCGAAATAATACCTACATAAGCATATAAACAATATAAATTCTTCCACCATAGGAAGTGAAACAAGTATGTAAATATAAAGCACAAAGATTGCTTGAGGGGTTATAATGATAATGCCGAAACAATAAACAAACCAAAAAAAACCCACCAAACAATTGTTAGATATTTAATAACATTAACATCAGTTCTTATCAGTAAAACTCAGGATTAGGACTCAATTTTCTAGCTGTAGTTAACAGACAACATTGTAAAAGTAAGGAAAGTAAAGTAAGTAAAACAATTGATAGGTGACTACAAATACGAGAAATCTGTAAGAGTAAAGTTCAGAGGAATTCAATTTTACATTTAATCCAGACTAATCATCATCAATTTCATATATCTGGCAAAGTTTTCATCTCTATCCGTAAGCCTTCCGTTCCTGCAGTTCATGCATCCAACTCCCATTGCCATTAGCAAGTTGACATATTAAGCTTCTGCTTACAAAAACATAAATTAGTTCATTTATGAACTAGTTCATGAAGGAAAAATCATCCATCATAGGAGAAAGGGCAATAGGCTTATAAAGCCTACTCTGTTAAAAACTAACATTAAAACATGCTTGCTGCAATGTGAATCTCTTCTTCAAGGAGAAAAGCTTCTCATACAGCAGAGCTGAGGTTCCATCTTTGCGAGCAGCCTGGTAGTTAACGGATTCATTTTGACCTATTCTGGGCTTGATATCCCTTTTCATCCTTACACTTCAGTACTGCTGGAATGAGAACAGCTGTGAATGGGAACATTACTATCTTTAAAGGACATTCTTTAAAGGATCTGTATGGTCTTATAGAGGACTAAATAAGTCTGCTCCTGCTCTGAAGAAAGGAAAAGAGACAATTTGATAATTCTTCTGTTAGTATTTAACATAGTATTTTCAGCAACATTTTCCACTGCCCACCTCTGAATTCCATCTTCATTCCACAAAAATGCTTTCAAAGGGAAAGCAAACTGCAGCTTAAGTTACATTAGCTGATTTCATAATTTTTCCAATAGACTACCTTAGATTTTATGCAAAGGTTAAATTGTACTAATGCTTCTGGAATCACATTGCATACATTAACAACAAAATAGCATATTTTCCCCTGTCGTCTTCATGTTCCAGGCCCTGATCAGATTTGCTCCATTGAAGGCTGCAGTTCAGAAGAAGGCAAAGGTTACTTTAAGATGCCTTTATTTCCCTCCAAGTTAAGACTCCAAGTTAACTACAGGCTGCTTTGCATCCTAAGAATATGCTGGGCCAACGACTGTTTACCCTCTGGTCCCATACCTGGCATAAAAATTCCTATGCAGAAAGCTGTAGGTGGACATCAGTGCAGTAGATCCATGCACATCAAATTCTGTAAACTGGGAATTCCTATTAAGACATCTGAACACCTTATGTCTTCTGTATGGAACCAGATTAATACAAAAAAAAAAAAAGAATAAGTAAATCAGAATCTGTCATTCTATTTTGACTCCTGCTAAGGAATTTTCTGAAAAGAAAATTCAATTCCTATCTAAGAAGAGGATATGAAATAGCAACTGTAGGATCATAGAGAAAACTCGAAGTTAAAATAAATGAAACAAAGAACAGACAAACAAAAATTACAGTATTCATAATTTGTAACTGACATAGACACTGGTGCAGGTTTTTGAGTATGCACTCCAGTGGACGCATATAACAAAACCCAAACCATAATAGGAATGTTATCAAACGATAGACAATGAAACCGTATGTTGGAAATAGTAGTTCTTATTATTTACTAGTAGGTTTTAAAATAGTCTTACAATTTAAACAGATTTCCTAATAAAATATGAAGGCTGAAATTTTCATAGTCAATATGATACCATAACATGTAAATGAACATGAGTTAATCACCAGTTTTTGGACTGGTTTTGAAAATCTTAATCTAAAAACAAGTTTGCAGTACACATACTGGTTGAAAAGACAAACTGCAGTACACATACTGGTTGAAAAGACAAACTGCATCTATTTATGCAGTTACTCTATCCATTTGAGATACGCATAAGAAGCTGTGGTGCATGCAGTGTTTACAGATGTAATTCAAACTGTAGTATCTTAAAGTGCAGCCTTAACGGATTACTATTTTAACTTTAATAAATGTAATAAATGTAACCATAAGCTGTGACAAAACCTGTTTACTGGAATATCAACCATAAGGACACATTCATTCCACAGAAAAGTTTCTTGACTCTTTGATTCTTATGGAAATTGCCTAACTATACCAATATAAAATAAATGTAGAAACCAAAGCTGGACCATCTGGTCACACAAGTAGTCCCATTGTTCATTACTTAAAAAGATTTGCACAAATATTTGTCAATATTTACACCTGGGAAATGCTGGGTTTTTGTTCTAATAAAAAGGTTCATATCAGACATGCAAATTAACAGTGTCTATAGTAAGAGTGATATGTCAATAAAGAGGACTGGCTTTTTTAATAGATGGGCAGCAACCTTATCATTTTTAAGGGGAAAATAATATATTATTATATTATAAATCAACAGTGAACTCTTTTAAAAAAAGGATAGGATTTTGCCTAGCATAAGCTACATGAATAGAATTAATTATTTAGAGCAGAAAAATATTTATTACATGATTGACTTTTGCCTGTCGGGTGTTTTACTAGTTTGCCAAAGACAGTAAAAACTTTAAAAGCCAGCTATAATATAAATCAAGTTGCAAAGTGAAACTATCCAAAAAATCCCTTTCATCCCGAAACTAAAGAATGGCAAATAAATTAACTTTGTATTGAATTTGTAATGAAGAGTATTTCATTACACAATACTGGCAATAACTTAATGTCAATTGTCCAACTAACCTGTATTATTAGAAGACACTAAGACGGAAAGGAATTTTTTAGCCAAGAAGCACAGGATTTCATAATGCTGGGGCCTTTTCCATTTATAATGAACAGAGATTAAATATTCTTGACAATCTGTACCAAGGTATCAGTGATTACAGAAATTTGTTCTTGTAAAAATTAATGGCATCTTTAAGTATTACAAAAATGATTTTATAAGTAAATATGAATCAGCCTAAATATTAATCCAAAATTTTAAAAAGTGAAGTTCTGACAACCAAAAATGGTATTTAGTTAAAAAAATGCAACACAAACATAATATATTGATTTGAAAATTCAAAAGAAATGTAGAAGATTATTTTCAGACTTTACTAACCAAAAGTGGTATGCAGATAATTCTTATAAGGTACTTGCAGCTAACCTGTATTATGTAATGAGCACAAAAGGTTATAAAGCCTAGAGAAAATCCCTAATGTTACAAAACGTATCTCTTGATTTTTAAGTTAGACAAGATCTTTTAGTATGTCTGTCTATAAGCTGCAGAGAGCTCAGTTTACCTCCTCCAGATAGCATAAATCTTGTGATTAAATTTTTAGTTGAGTTAGATGTGTAAAACTCTAAAACATTCCCTCTCCAAATCAGAAATGACTCAAATTCTTGGAAAATCCTGTTTCAGTATTTTTTTTTTTTAATTCTTTAATTTTAACTCATATTATCGTATTGTTGCCTCTACCCCAAGATAACCTTCATAGATTAATTACATATTAAAAGTACATATTTATATTAATTTCAACATTTCAGGAATCAATAGGTAATAAGTAGAAAATACATTTACTGCTTCCATATCAGTTACAGTTTTCCTCTGAGTCAGCCGTGCTAGCTATTATGGTTAAAGAACAACAAGGAAGCACTGCGTGCCAGAATTAAGAAATTTTATACAAACACCCAGAAAGCATAGCAAACTGAAACAGCAGGTATATAAATCAACTCTCTATATAAAATAAATAATTAAAATTAAGTCATTACACTTCAGGATCGACAGGTAATGCGTAGAAAATATATTTACTGCTTTCAGATCAGTTGGGACCTTTCTTAGATTCTGAGTCTGCCATGAGATCTGTTATACTCTAAAATCAGAAAAGAAGTTCTGTTGGTTGCGAGCATTAACTCAACTCTGAATAAAAATAATAATAAGAAGAAAGCCAATATGCAATTACCAGGAAATTATAAAAATCAGGGCTAGAAAAGACCCTGAGAGCTCATCTGATTTGTCTCTCAACAGAAAATTTAACTGCGAGAACCTGACCCTAAGCATAGTCATAAACACATTCATATATATATTTGGAGAACACATATAAAACAGGCTGTTATTAAACCATACTAAGCTTAAGCATAAAGCATATTAATAGCACAGTATAAATTCTGAGCCAGAATTACACTATTAATGATGGAAATTAAGTGAGTAAATTAGTAATGCTAACAAAAGAAAAAGGATTCTGAAGATGACGTACTAAAACTAGGCTATTGATATCTCAGGTCACACCAACTGAAAAAAATCAGATAACTGATATTTTTATGTCTACTGAATATACATAAAACTGAATATTTGATTTCACAGGAAATGGCATTATGCATTAAATATACTGCTGTGCCTTACAATAAATGAAAGCTGATTCAAGTCCTCTCACTTCCCTGGACTGTCAGATACAAAGATTAAAAAAAGCTGAGCATAAAAGATGCTAGCACCCTATTTCTAACAGTCACGTTAGCATGGAGCTCATAGCATGGAGCTCAGATAAGTAACTTGATTCTCAGCAGCCTTAATGAGCACTGCATGTTCTTAGTATCTGATCTTGTATGCTAAAAGGTTTGCCTAGATATCTCTGTGCAAGAGTGCATTCTGGTGTACAAACAGTGTAATTCAGACCATCAGAAAAATATAAATATGGTCAGTCACTTGAAAGCAAATCACCTTTCATGATTTAGTATGTATTCTGTATGAACATCTGTTCGTAGGGGAAAGGAAGGCTGCCACCTCCCTGAGAATACTCTCATTTGTATCACATCTGAATACAAAAGTGCATTTTAATACTTGAGAATTTAATCAGCTAATACCAGACAGATAGTTTTTTAGACAGTCTTCACTTGTAGCAGACAGCAGTCTAAGGACAGTTTGCCAATTATGGCCAAAATACCTTCCCTTAAAGCCATAGATGAGAACCACCGCAGTCTTAACTGTGACAGTTCTAGCCTTTGATATGTTAGTACAGATTATAAAATATTGATTCTTAAAGATTTGCTTATCTCCCTGTACTTTCTATACACTTACCTCAGACTGTCCATTCTCATCTAGCTCCTCCACTCGGGTCAGATTAGGTGCTCCAAATCTATCTGTAAGTTCAGCTATTGTCTTTTCTTGTCCCTATAGTAATGAAAATGAATTTTCAGTTAAAGGCACTCCATGTCATGAGTAACTATTTATAGAGAACATTTCAAAAGTCTTAAAATGACTTTATGTATTAATATAAAGAGAATAGTATAGATGCATGCTATATAAATGTGTTAATATGTAAATAAGGTCTTTGTACTCTCATTAAGACTATTTTCTTTTCTTTTCTTTTTTTAAATAGGACACATCTTTAAACTATGATGTGCACCACATAAATTTAAGAAGCATTCACATTTGAAAGCTTTATTGAGATAAACATGTCGATTAGCAGGGTGTATTTTTACTGAAGTATCAGTAAGAGCCCATATATTCACACGGATCTGTGTAAGCACTTTTCTGCTAGTATAAATTCCTGTGCACCAGGAGGATTACACATCTTATAATTAAGCGACATCCCATTTCCCAATCATAGTTCTTTTTCCCGGTACAGCAAATGGAATTTGCACTGACACATGGTCAAATATTACCATCTAGACTCTTAAATTAGACCTAAGTTAGAACACTTTCTCATAAATATTGTTAAGGAATACGACAGCATCAACCAAACTGACCTTTAGCGAAATCGTGGAATAAATTTATACTCTGTTCTGAATATAAGCTAAACAAACCTAATAGAATAGACCAAAACTCAAGTATAAAACTCAGACTGGAAGTCATTCTTCCTCCATTTTCACAAATTTTTTTTATATTACTCTCAATATGTTAGTTGAACATGCATGGGCTTCTGCCTTGCATTTTGTATTTAGTGCTTGCATCTGAAAAAGACAACTGATAAACAGTATTTTCAAATCCCTGACTAAGCTTTGGCTTAAACCTCTTGATCTTTCTGCTGCAACAGCCATTTGTCTGCTTGCTCCTTTTCTATCCTCTGCAGTTCCAACTCCTCACGTTCTCGTTCCATCTGCTCCTGCAGTCATTTCATGAAAGGACAAATTAGAAGGAAAGAAAACCCCAACAACAAGAAAGCATGCACCACACTCCCACACACATGTATAAATACACATATATCTTCCCCATCCCATTACTTAAAATATATTTCATGACTGAAATCTTAAAAAATACAAAGCATAAAACATAACTGCAATATTAATAAGATTAAGTCCTTTCAGTGTAGAAAGGATAGAAAGGTGGTAATGCCAAGAGGAAGAAGAAATAGACAACTGAAGATCTTAAGATACTGTCTCATTCCTCAAGCCCTTTATCAGCCTATTTCCATTATGTCCTGTAATGAGGATTAAGCTCTGTGATACTTTGTTTATTATCTAGCATAGACAGGTGAATCCATATACAATCAAATCTATGGAAAAGATTGATAAGTTACATTATTAATATTAATCTTCATCAACAACCTTTAAAATTTCCGATCAAAAATACATAATACAAGGTGTTTATGCTCCATGAGCCCAAAGTGCTATTACATCAAAACATCAGAAACTGCATAATCTAAGTGTTCACATTCAACAACACCAGCAGCTAGAGAATACTGTGTGCTGTAGCATTGTGTGAACAGTTACTACAAACACTGACATATTGTAGTAACTGGTTTTCACATTCCCATTTGGTACGTACAATCAAAGCGAGCCTGAGTACATGACTACAGCCAGTATTGTGAGTTAGGTTAAAAAAGAAAAAAAAAAAAATCTACTGTGAGTATCTTTCAACTTTCCCACAATTTATAAGAAATAATAAAACAATATATTAATTTTTCCACGATTTATCACTAGACACAACCTAATATTCTTGATTCCATTTACTCTTTTAAACGAGTCATGAAATCCTTAAGCAAATGACTTTTGGTCTGCAAATCAGAAAATCCCCCCTCCCCAAAAAAGGGCAAGTGAAAAAGAATGAATGCAATTTACACTATAACTGGGCCTAATGAGATTAGCATGCATGGAAAATTACATTTATGTTTTTAATGTCATGTGAAAGTCAGCCAGGTTAAAAAAAGTCCAATAAGAGAACTTCTCTCCATTACCAAAGCAACATACATAACTAAAACGACATACGTAACTGAGGCTGTTACACAAGTGGCCAAGTTCATGAGATTCCTCTAGAAAGGGCAGTTAGAAATGCAGACATCTCTTTATTTCTCCTATTTCAAGTCCACACAGTACAGTATTCAAGTTGCTTTACGCCAACAGAACGCTTCAGTAGCCCAATACACCTCATTGGAAAAGGCTATACCTTAAATGGGCAACCATTTTCAGGAATCTGTATACATTCTCATTACCTTTTTTGCCATACTGATATTACAATGAAGTAGCTTGAGACAATAGCCAGTTATAAATCCCAGACCTCCTAGCAGGGGCCTGTCAAAATATTTTGCAATGATTTTTAGCTTTACTTGCACCAGCTCTCATGCAAAGTAAAGACGACGGTTCACTAATGTTAATTCTCACTGAAGTCTTAAATTGGTTGGTCTTTACCTTAGGCTCCTTCATTTTTTAATAACATCTTACCACGCAGTCTGCAAGTTTTCTTTCCTATCTGCTGATTAAATCATTTTATTTATTATTTTGAAAAGTTAAAATATTTCTTTTATGTCACCTTCTTTCAAAATCATTATATAGGGATTACAAGTATACAGAGTGCTATGAGATGCCACAGCGTCATATTCTATTATAATTAACTATTATTAACCTGACGTTCTTCTTCAAGTTTCTGCTGGATTGTAAGTTCTTCTTCCTTCATTTTTTCTAACATTTTGAGTTCTGTCAGGGCTGCCTCCTGTTCTTGTTCCAGCTCAGTCCTCTCCAACCTTCTCTATTATCAAACAGGTAACACAAAATCAATTAGAAAAAAAAAAAGAAAGAAAAGAGAGAGAGAGAGATTCACTGACATCAATTATATTGTCATGAAAGTTTTTGCCCAAGATAAAATCCACCTTTTGTTCTTCATCTAAGATTCTCCTGTAATTATAAATCCAGTGTGCCAGGTACTCTATTGGGTCTGCTGGCCGATGCTCTACAACCTCTGCCAGTCCCTTTATCAAGCAACTTCCCAGGCATCTCTTCAGGTACTGGGACTCCATTTACACCTATTAACAACAAACAGACATACATTAAGCACCACGTCAGATTTAAACTAGAGTGTTTAAGAATTATTGAGTCAGGCACCAAATACTGAATATGGCGTTACTCTTTTTGTTTATTTTATTACTGCTAATGTATCTGATGGGTATGGCCCAAGGATACAAGTTAAGATTTCCAGACATGCTGTTGACCCATTGTATGGATTCTGCTTCTATTTCCCCTTTTACACATTTGTCTTGCTACACAGTAATCTCTTCAAAAGAGAAACTAACTTTGTGTGTGAACAATGCATGGAGGTTACAATTTCACGGAGCTACAATCTCAGCTAAAGCATTACTAACTATTAACTTTTTAATTTGTTCTTTTAAGAAAGTGTTTCATAAGCAACACCTCTAAGAACATTCTTTCAAATAGACTGTGAACTGACTGAAATCAATTTTTGTGTGTATAAATAAAAAATTAGTATGACCAGCAAAATGAATGGGAAGCTTTTTATCCACCAACTCTCCTTCGTTATTGACAAAGACTATATGTACATAAGTTGGAAGGCAGAAATTAAAGTTCAAGGCTGACACTTAAAGTGACATACAAGCTATGCAAGCTTGCAAATCAGAAAGCCTAAGTACCTCAGCTGTGATGGAATGGCAGTGTAATTGATATAGACAAAAGGCATACTTGGAAAGGAGAACCCTATAGATTCTGAGCCATAATTTAAATCGATTAGTTTAGATCAAGTAAGAGGTGCAACCTCATCACAACTGAGAATGGATCAATTTACATAAGAGGGTAGTAGGACCAGCAATTTTTTAGTTAAAAATAACCATTATAAGGGATTTTGCAAGAAAGAGTTGGAACATTGTCTTCTTTCACAAAAGGAAAACGGGAGCAAGTGGATGGGGTAAAAAAGATTCTCTGCCTCAGCTCAAACTTGGCTGTCATTCATACTGTATTCACAGAGATGGCCAGAAGGAATCACTGTTGTTACACTTGTTAGACTGTGCTTGTTTACTAACATATTATTCTCTCCCTTCTCTGCACCAAGAGTCAAATACACTGGTATGAGGAAAAAGGACTTCGCTGCATAGATGACTAACTTGTTTGCCACTGGGTGATCAAGTAGTTGGAGAACAAGTGAAGCAGGCAGCTTAATACAGGCTAGTCAAGACAGGATTTGCAGGTTCTGCTTTATATCAGCCATGAAAGGGATCTTCAAAATAGGGTTGAAGTCTCAGAAACATCTATATAGCACTTGAAGGCATATGTTTTATGCATCCTTAGTCCACATACACATAAACCTTGGATATAAATCCAGCACACCCACAGGAAATACTGCTACACCCAGACAGCAATCCAGTAACTCATCCATGTTTTGCTAACATGCGGCTAACTCCCTCCAGGTTTTATCATCTCTTCAGTCTTCAAGTGATTTTGCAACTCACTCTTTAAGTATATTTACATTCCAGATCTGTTTTCTGGATATGTTTTGGGGGAAGACTGGCTTAATGATTTCATCCATTTCTACAACAAAACAACAGATAAGTACGGAGCAGATACAGATAACATCTAATTATTTTACTATACATGAAACTTAAAATATGGTGAGTTGGAAAGCCTCTTGTTTTCCTGAAACTCACAATTAATATAAGAAAGTTACTTAAATTTAATATTGCTTTAGTTCTTAAAAGCTCCAGTGATGGATGAATTATACTATGTACTGCAGAAGAAAAAATGCTCAAAAATCCCTTGCAGCCTAGGCATGTAGCATTCCGAAACTGCTTGGAAATAAGCAGGTAATGCTAGGTCAGCATGATAGCAAAAACCTCAAAACAGCAACAGGACATTAAAAAAAAAAACCTTCTGTATAACTATTTGAAGAACAGTGAAGTGGTTTCATCAATATTTAAGAACAGATTTTCGTTTGAAATAACAAAGCAAGCTTTAAGGTTTAAGATTCGTAAAGCCGCATGGCCCCTCAGCCCGCCACGCAGCTCTGCGCCCCTCGGGCCGCTGGCAATACAGAGCCAGGGCGTTTCACACTGGCCCAAGAAGCGCAGCGGCGGCCCCGGGGAAAGCCGCGGATATAAAGCCTCCCTCACCCTTCGCCTTCAGACGGGCTCCCGAAGGGGCAGTCCCCGAGCTAGCCCGCGGGGCCCCGAGCGCCAGGGCAGCTTCCCTCCCCAGAGGCTACCGACCGGC